TACTTCAGATAGTTTAAAACTTACTTGTTAATTATAAAGATAATGTATCTTCATTCAGGAAATAATAATCCCTAAACCTTGTTCTTAGCATAGACATCCTACTTTCCAACCAGGCACCACCTAGAGCAAGTAATGCACATAGTGGATTGCTCAATATTTCTGATTATTTGATTAAAGTGTTCTAAGGCACAGTGACTCATGCCTGCAATCCCAGTGCTTTTGGAGGCTGAGGTAGGTGGATCATTTGAGGTCAGGAGTTTGAGACCAGCCTGGTCAATGTGGTGAAACCCCATCTCTACTAAAAATACAAAAATTAGCCAGGTGTGGTGGCTCACGCCTGTAATCCCAACTACTCATGAGGCTGAGGCACAAGAATCACTTGAGCCCGAGAGGTGGAGGTTGCAGTGAGCCCAGATTACACCACTGCACTCCAGCCTGGGCAACAGAGTAAGACTCTCTCTTTTTTTTTTAAAAAAAAAAAAAAGGTGGGGGGATTCTATGTTAGAAGTTATAGAACTTATACTGGAAAAACAATAAACATTATCAATTATTACATTTTTGTAAGAATACCACATTTTGTTTGGAATAAAATGCTAGACAGAAGCCAATTAAGAGGAATAAATTCTTTTAGGAAACTTTGACTGCCAGTGACTACGTTTAAAATAGTAAAAGCTTTGCAATAAAAAGCAATAGAGTGATTATACAAAAAAACCTGGCCTTGTAACTGACAAAAGACAAAAGAAGAATTACGAGAAGAGTTTAGGATAGCATAAAGAGCACAGATCTTTGAGGAAGGCCAACTCCCCAGGCAAAAATAGAGAAAAGGTGTACCTCTTCTCTAGGTAGACTACTCAGAGTCTTTATGCTAATTGTTTTGGCCACCATATAACTCTGCTTCCCTGTTCAAAATGGTTTTTTTCTTCCCACTCTCTTTTCAAAGGCCTGTTCACTAAGGGATTGGTTCTCAGGTTTCTATTCACCAGAGAAGCAACATAATAAACAAATTAAAACCAAATTATTATAAATACTATAATACAAGTTCATAAAACTTCACTCTAATTTCTGGGGCCAGATATATTTCAGAACTGACAATTTTTCAGCTTTTAGAAAAACATTTCTCTGATAGTAACCCACAATCAAAATCCATGAATATTTCTGCAAGAAAATTAATGCATATCCACACAGCATAGAATAAGATTACAAATAGCTTTAAAACAGTTCAGTTTGGGTTTGCCACAAAATGAGTTGGCACTAAACTTAAGAAACAAAATTCCAGTTTTCATAGTTGTTTGGACTTTGAAATTGCGAATAAGCCCTTCTGGACCTGTAGTTCAATATGTTGTCTTTCATTGAGTATTTTAAAAGCGAAGCAGTGTTTTAGCCCAAAGTTACCCAACAATTCATAATCTATAGTGATAGACAATATATCTTTGGGAACCAAGGAGAAAGATTTTGCCTAAAGAGAGCATTTCTGGTGACTCTTTCATAACCTATCAGTCACTTTCTGCAGGTTGAGCATCCCTAATCCAAAGGAAATCTGAAATGCTTCCAAATTCAAAACTTTTTGAGCCAACATGACACTCAAAGGTCATGCTCAAAGAAAATGCTCATTATAGTATTTTGGAATTTGGATTTTCAGGTTAGGAATGCTCAAACAGTAAGTATAATGAAAACATTTCAAAATTTGAAAAAAATTCCAAAATTTTAACACTTCTGATCCCAAACATTTTGGATAAGGATTATTCAACCTGTATTAACATTACTCAATTTATGTTCCTTTTTCAAAAATGTTCCCACTTAATTATCCTTAAGATTATAGAAAAAAGGAAGGTAAATTTCCCTTCTGCAAAACATAGTAAAATGTTGCTATTGTGTTGTTCTTACCCTAGGTAAGAAATTCTGTTCTTCTCCTCATCCAAACCATGTGTGAAAAGTCCTATATTGAAGCTCGGGAAGGATGGCCATTGATTGATTATGTCTTCTCCCAGTCTGCAACGTTGAACAGGAATCTGGTATGCAGAGGCTACAGTTCTGAGTGATGCACTATAAAAAGTACAGTTCGCTCAACTATGTTTCTTTTTAAAAAAACTGTTAGGGTCCTTAATCTGTCACAGGAGTAGAGTAAAAAAAATAAATTGTAAAAAAATTAAAAATGACTAGAGTTCAATTAAATAACTGATTTGAAAGTAATATTTTAATCTTGTCACTTTTGCTGATATTTTTTACAGCCTCTAGTTTTCTCAGTTCTTTTTTTTTTTTTTTTTTCTAAAATGACCTCTAACTTATAATAAGCACAAGATAGGTTAAATCAGTTTTCTCTAAGTTAACCTAGCCACCAAAAGCTTGGATTGGGATTGTCTGGAGAGGGGCACAGAAACTGGATTGCTTCAGAGAAAGCAAAAGAGATATCAATACTTGCTGCAATGATGTCTTAGTTCATTCAGGCTGCTATAGCAAAATACCATGGAGCAGTGAAGTAAGTTCTATGAAGTGCATTTCTAAAACAGCATACTTCTGAAATCATAAACAAGTTTATTAGGGTTCTAACCCTTTGCTGTACACAAACAGAAATGTATCTGTTATATAAATGAGAAAAAGCTGTATGCTGATGGAGCAGACTTTTAAAATCCTGTAGAAACACTCACCATATATAAAGGAAAATACCGTGAAATGATGGTTTATAAACAGAAAATATTTATTTCTCACAGTTCAAGATGCGGGGAAGTCCAAGAGTGTCTAATGAGTGTCTCCTTCCTAACAGATGGTGCCTTCTCACCGTGGAAGGGAATAGCTAGCTCTCCAGGGTCTCCTTCATGAGGGCATGAATTCCAAACACGAGGGCCTTTCTCTTATAACCTAATCACCTTCCAAAGACCATACCTCCTAATACCATCACCTTGGGCGTTTGGATTTCAACATATGAATTTTGGGAAAACGCAAACACTCAGACCGCAGCAACTGAGGTCAGCTTTCTTTGGATAAATTGACTGAAAAGTATGCACTTATGATCTCTGTGATTTTAGCAAATTAGTTGCAACTGAAATCACAGTTCCCTCCACAAAGAAGCACGCTTTGAAAATTTTGCCCTGAAGACAATGACAAAGGTCTGAGAAAGAGAGGGGATATCTGCAGTTAAAGGAGCCTCACAATTTCTGTTTCTCTCTTTTAGCAAGGGATGTGTTTCCCAACTAATTCCTCCAAGGAATTCTAGGTTTCTAGGTTCCATGAGCCACTTAAGTTGAGGGACTACATCCTTTACTCCAGAGTCTGAGAATGCACCCAAGGAAAGACAGAGGAGACTAACCTTAGGAGTCACTAACAAGTCACCTGTTTGACCTTTCTTAAAGGAGAAACCAGTGAAAACTAACTTTCATGAGAATGAAAAGGAAGAGGAATCTGTCCGAGAAACAAGCCTTGAGGTCTTAAAAACCCTGGACCCACTGGTCATTGGAATGCCTCAGGTAAGGGGTCTTTTGTCACCACTTACAGTTACTTTGATCACCTTCTTAAAGTCTAGCCTGTGTAAGAATAAAGGCATGAGTTTGTGCTCCATTTGTCATCAGCTTCCTGATGCTCTGACTAGAGGAGGTGTATGGCAATACTGTGTCCAGCACATAGTGCTTCCTCAAAAACAGATGTTGAATTAATTAAGATAATTAATATAAAGTATCTTACATCTGGATAGTTCATGACAATTTATATATATAATATTAGTATACGATTTCTCCTCTTCCTCTAATGCATACGGTAATATTAAGTAGTGGTGTTAATGCAACCAATGCCAAACTTACCCTATTCCATCTGGGAAAGTGTTAAAAGCAGCCATTCTCAGGCCTCACTGGAGACTTGATTCATTTGAAACTCAAGGGGAAGAGCCTTGGAATCTGTAGTGCCCAGAAGTACATAGCACAATCAGAAGACAAACAACAGACCACACCATTTAAGTAGTAGATCAGAGGCTTCATCTAGGATGATATGTGGTTCCTGAGTTATCTGAGATATTTACTTAAATGCAGATTTCCAGGTCACATACCAGACCTACTGAATCAGCAAAACTGGACATAGAGACGAAAAGTCTACAATCAACTAAGTTCCAATATTTCTGATACATACTAAAGTTTAAGACTTTTTGATATAGAAGTAAATGATGAAAAAAATAATCTAGGGTCAAACCCTAAAGGGCCTGGAATGCCAAACTTTTACCTTATGGTTGATAAACCAGTGAGAATTTTAAGCAAGAGCTAAACATTTAAAATGATAATTGTAGGGAATCAGTAGATTCACACGAGTAGACTAAGAGCAAAGAGACTATCTAGGAGATCAGATGCAACTTGTAGGAACTACAGCAATGTCATTACAATAGAAATGAGACATGGAAGGGCACAAGAGATCTTACAATGAAAAAAAGACTGAGTCTGGTGATTAAATATAGATGACAAAGAAGAGAGAAGAGTACAAGTTGACACCAAGGTTTCCATTAGCACAAGAGAGTTTTCTAAAGGATATAAAACATACTAAAGAAACACAATGTTTCAGACTTCCAGAGCAGGCTGGTCAGAGCTTGAAGCACAGAGGACAGTAGCAGCCCATTCACTATCCTCTCCCAAGCTTCTCACTGGGGCAGTCACACTCCAATCCTGGAGTTTTGGGAAGTACTTGGGAGATTTTTGGTTGTCACACTGACAAGAGGAATACTGGCACTTGGTGAGTGGGGCCCAGGGATGCTAGCATTCCCCTAGTGTCTGGAGCAGTCCCTCATGACAACGAATTGTCCTGCCCCACATTCCAGCAACATCCCCATGGAGAAACACTGACCAACGCTCACTACGGCTAACACCTGAAAATGAATGTGCTATGCAGAGGCTTCATTTAATGATCTCATCTTGACTTGGCCCGAAAAGCAAAATAATAACAGGAGAAAAGCTTCTACATCAGAGAAAAACATCTAGTGAGGACCAGGGAGAAGTAATGGAAAAGAATAAGTAATCCTTGTGTCTTGCCCTATATTCCACAGGTGCTGTGGCCAAGGATCCTGACTTTTGTGGTACCTGCAGAATACACAGAAGCTCTGGAGCCCCTGTTTAGTATCATCAGAATCCTGATTATGGCAGAGGAGAAGAAGAAGCACAGTGCCAAGGAGTCAACAGCACTTGTCATCTCTACGGGAGCTGGTCTGTACATTCATAAACACAGAAAAGCTTTTCTATTATGAGGGATCCATTTCCAGGAAGGCTACAGTGCTTTGACCTTAAACCCAACCCCAATCTCTAACCCCTACAGTGATGATGAAAATTGCTTTCTCTTTCTAGTGAAACTTCCTTCACCACAGCAGCTACTGGCCAGACTTCTGGTGAGTGAGTTACAAAGAACCAAACTACAGCAAATTTAAGCTGATAAGGATAATTCAGTTCCAAATAAATGCTAATATAAATTACATGGAGACTCCAAACAAAAAGAAACACTAAAAAGGCATAATAAATTTCTGCTATACTAATGGCATTCATGAGTATTTATTATTCACATGATTACCTTCCCACTCTGAAATACTTGTTAAACTTTACTTATAATTTTAAGTTGAGCATATACTGAATCTCATTCGTAGGTACCATCAAACAAATTCCACATCTGTTGTTTGGATTTCCCATCTCTCTCTTTGGCCCCATATGGATCATTTACTCAAGCACTCTTTCCTCGTGTCTTTATTTAATTAATTGATATATCTAAGTCTTCTTTCCATTTATTTTTGGTTGGTGCTTTCCACGTATTTTTCACCTTCATCCTCAGGGAAAAGGAAATGGGAGAAGGGCTAAGTATTAGCTTCATTCTAGAATAAATAAGAACAGACTGTGATGATTTGTTAAAAGATTATCCAATGCAGAAATCAAAGGAATTGGAACAATGGTAAAAGGAAAAAATAAGTGGGCCTTTTAAAGGCCCCTGAAATTGATAAGCTCTTTCTCTTCTATCCTTCAGGTAATATCTATGCCTGCCAGTTTAGGGGAGTTACGTGGGGCTGGTGCAATAGGGCTTTTGAAGATACTGCCTGAGATCATTCACCCAAAATTGGTAGACCTATGGAAAATACGTTTACCTGAGCTTCTGCAGCCTCTGGAAGGTACGAGGGAGTGGGGCCAGGTCTTTACCCAGCAGGCAGGAACATAAAGAAATGATGCACCATTTCTCTGTGTAAAGCCATTATTGCTCATTTTAGGCAATAAAAACAATGAACTTGATATGCAAGGTAGATAGCTATTTTTTTCTTCTTGACTCCTTATATTCTGTTTCTCTGCCAATATTCATACTACAAGAAGACCTAGTGGGTAACATTCTTAATGGGAATTTTTACTTTCGCGCTTGTCTTTTTCTTGTATCTAGAGAAATTCTATTTTAGTATTGTTCTAAAAAGTTATTAATCATGTTAGAATATCAAAATATGGTCATTTCAGTAGTCATCGAAATTAGCAGAAAGCCTAGATTTTTATGATGGATTGAAGACCTTCTCTCTACCTAGCACTTTAACGTTGCCAATGTAGTAAATTTGATTTCAGATAAGCATTATGAGCAAAAAGAAAGCTTAAAATTGAACTCCAGCACCACTGGAGGCCTGGCAAGGAGAATTTGAGTCTAGGGGTGGTTTTTTTGTTTGTTTGTTATTTTGGTTTTTTTTTTTTTTTTATTAAACAAAAAAAAACCTAACTTTATTGGCAAGCTTGTTTAGTTTTTCAATGGCATTCCTTTTTTTTTTTGTTTTTTTTTTTTTTGCGATTATTACATCAATTTTTGTTTCTAGGGAAGAACATCAGTACCGTTCTATGGGAAACCATGCTGCTTCAGGTAAGGCTGGCTTCTAGAATAATTGTTGATAATGGCATGATGAAATCAGCTAAAGTTACCCATCCTAAATCAAAGGAACTAGATTTCCGAGGATAATAACCTTTTCTTTTCTTTGGAAAAGAGTTAGAATGTTATAAGTGATCACTTAAGGATAACGTTCTTTAAATCGCCATAATTTGGACAACAATCTTAAATCCTCTTGGGTAAGTTTCAGACAGTTTTGAAGATTTTACTTAGCAATATTTTTCCTGTGTCTTTCTTAAATCTTCTCTAATTTTCAACTTTTTACTTCTTGCAACTTTATTCTTTTACCAGCCACATAATGAAGCACAAATTAACATAATTTCCACTTCCGTGCCCCTAAACACAACTGTATTTCCTCTTCTATTTGTGGCTTAATGTCTTTTTCGTAATGTCTAGAAAACAAACGGCCACATTGTATCCCATTTCCAAAAACGAATTTCCTATCTCACCCATAAACTTCTTGGAGCTTTACAACTAACAGCACTACAGGTGATACCAAATCCCAGAAATAGTAAATTGCAGACAGGCGGTGGACATTGACTTTACAAAGATGTGATTTCAGAAACTTGCAGGAGGGAAGAAGCCCACAGATAGGGAGCTTTTAATATAGAAGGTTTTCAGTTTATAAGGCACCTACCTAGGAATTACCTATGGCTTCTTAGAAGAGTCAGTTTTCAATGATCTCTCCACAGCACCTCCTCTACCTTCTATCCCCATCCTTCCAGATTCAGAATCTCTGGGGGTGGTACCTGAGAACTGGCATGTTTTAAAGGTTTCCATCAGTGATTCTTATCCAATATATGATTTGAAAGTGACTGCTCTACTCTCCTGGTCCTCAATTCTAGGATCCACCTCTCTCCTATATTTATGGTTCTTTTATGTTCCATTCCCTCTCTCAAAATTCCTACCAGATTTTCTTCTGCTACCATTTTAAAATAACTATCTCTACTAGGGAGAAAAATATTTTTTTTCTAATGGGAAGCCTTGACAACAGTTCCTTTTCCTCTTCCAATTTTGAATATATTTCTGGTCTTTTTTTCCCCAAAACTGTCTGCCCATGTCTTCTTCTCTTAAATTTCCAAAACTGTTTAGTTTCTTTAAAGAACTCATGAATGAGCTCCTATTAAGAGCATACATACACATCCTTTCATTGGTTTTGTTTGGCATTGTGTCCTTTTCTAAGCTTAAAGTTGAAAAAATATAGGAGAAATAATATATATATTGCAATGTGTTTGTCAAAAAGAAAAAAGAACACCTTTCTATGTATTGTTCAAAGAAAAAGGACATGGATTCAAAGGATTGATGTGACCCTGTCTCATAGATATTGGTAAAACCATGAATCTCTAGTTACTAGAGTTGAAGTTTGCAGAAATGTACCTGTACATTGAAATGTGCCTGTTCTTTAAGACATTTAATTCTTGATTCCAAAAATCTCTATCCTGTTTGGGGTTTTTTTTTTTTTTAAGTATGTAATAAGTTAAATTAATATTAACAAATGGAGTTTTTCCAAATCTATCAAAACTAGAAAAATGCCAAATTTAAGTTTCAGATTAGATTAGTTTCTATTTTAGGTCTTTTAGCAATGTTTATTTAAAGGAAGAAAAGGAAGTTGCTTTTCCACATTCTGTGTATCTTATTCTCCGTGCAAATTCAGAACATATCATAAAATGTTTTTTAGAATAAACTAACAGGAAAGTTTCAAAGGAATTAATTATTTTATGGGAAAAGTAATAATACTGTTTAAAATAGATTTAAACTTTTAAAAGATAAGTAACCAAAAAAATACCAAGTAAGCACATGAAACTGTCATATTCATATCTAACTTCCACTTCCTACAACAGTTGCTCAAAGAATCCTTGTGGAAGATCGATGACGTGGCCTGGACCATTCAACTGACTCGGGATTTCAAACAACAAATGGGCAGTTACAGCAATACCTCCATTGAGAAGGTTGGTTTTTCAGCTAAGGGGGAAACCTTAGCTTTTACCTGTGATCCAAAATGGCTTCTATAACTCCATCTTGTCTGTATTACAATCAAAGGGAGGGAGGCACATTTAGAAAAAAGAGTTCCTTCTTTTTAAGGCCACTAGCTGAAAGCTGAATACTACCTTCTCTGCACCTCACATTTGGCCCAAATTTACTTGTATGGCCTCACATATCTGCGAGGAAGACTGAGAGGTAGATAAGATAGATATGTGCCTGACTAATATTCAGAGGTTCTTTCTAGAGGAGGAAGAAGAATAGATACTGGAAGGCTAACAGCAATGCTTAATGTCAGCTTCTGTCTTGGCTTCCATTATGCCAGTCTTGTGATGCTGGCTATCAAAAAGAATCTACTACAATTTAACATAGGCTTATAGCTAAAATAATACTCAAAAGCTAGTTCTAGGAAAGGGTGCCCAAAGAAATATGTTTTAATTTCCAATGACAAAGAGGTATGGCCATGGAGAACAATGATTAAAGGCCCCACATCCATGTGTCGGTTAACAGGACAAGTCAGAGCAATAAAGTATTTTTCAAACATTATTCCTTTCCATGTTTTTAAAGTCAGTTCTTCTATCTCTCTGTCTCTAAATGGCCCCTACCTAACCTTCTACCTTGTAGCCATCCATTCCCAATGGGGTTTGGAGCCAGTTTCCCCCCTACTTAATACTAATGGGGCTTTAGGTAAATTATGTTATCTCTCTGGATGCTCACCATACTCATCCATAAAATAGAAACAATACCCACCTCTGAGGGTTGTAGTATTCTGAGGGTTCAATGACAGAAAGTATATAAAGTCCCTGGTGAAGTGCTTAACACAGGGCGTGTGCTTCATATAAAAGTAGCTTGGAACATGGTCTTTGAACATAGTCTTTATTATCTTAATACCATTCATAAGTTTATTTTTCTGGAAAAATATTTACGTTTCTCAGTTCCAGTACTCAGTATTTCTTTCCACAAATTATTCATTATCAATCTTTGACTGACATATGTAATTTTCAAAATTCTCCTCACATACGTAATTTTCAAAACTCTCTAGTTTGGTGCAGAGTACTGATTTTCCAAATGGGTTTATCAAACCCACCAACACACATGGGAAAGATTTGGTGAGTAATGCTCTATCTTCTTATAATACAAACTAGCTCTGTGCATGTCATGTCATGCCGTGTATTTTTTTTTATTATTATACTTTATGTTCTAGGCTGCATGTGCCCAACATGCAGGTTTATTACATATATATACATGTGCCATATTGGTGTGCTGCAC